CACTCCTCCTCAGACTAAACAAGGCTGCGGTCAGGCGCTGGGGTCCAGCGGGGGCCCTTGGGTGGGGGCGGGGGGGTATCGCGCCCCATGTGTCCCCCTCCCCAGGTCTGGGTGGTCCCCCCACGTGTGGTGGGGACGGGGCTGGGGTGCTGTGAGGGCTCCTGCTTGGCTTGGGCAGTGGGGGCTTTGGGGGGCTCCTTGCCCTGGCTCCAGGTCCCCATGCCACGTCCCTGTCCCAGCTCCAAGTCCTTAAGCCATGTTCTGGTTCCTTGACCTGGCTCCATGTCCACATGCCATGTCTCCATCCCAGCTCCATGTCCCCACACCATGGCCCAGCTCCAGGTCCCTGTTCCAGCCCCATGTACCCATGCCATGACCCAGCTCCAAGTCCCTGTCCCGACACCATGGCCCCACACCATGGCCCAGCTCCAGGTCCTTGCCCTGGCTTCACGTCCCCATCCCATGGCCCAACTCCAGGTCCCTGCCCTGGGTCCATGTCCCCACACCATGGCCCAGCTCCAAGTCTCTGTCCCAGTTCCATGTCCCCACACCATGGCCCAGCTCCAAGTCTCTGTCCCAGCTCCATGTCCCCACACCATGGCCCAGCTCCAGGTCCTTGCCCTGGTTCCGTGTCACAGAATCTGAGAATCACAGAATGGTTGGGGTTGGAAGGGACCTCTGTGGGTCACCCAGTCCAGCCCTCCTGCAGGCGTGTTGGAGGGGCGAACACGCGTGTGCTCACCCAGTCCCGGTACAGGTCCCCAGTGTGGGTTCCCAGTCCTGGTGGATGTCCCTGGTATGGGTTCCCAGTCCCGGTGTGTGTCCCCACCCTGGGTGCCCAGTCCCGGTGCATGTCCCTGGTGTGGATGCCCAGTCCCAGTGCAGGTCCCTGGTGCGTGTCCCTGGTGTGGGTCCCCGGTGTGGGATCCCAGTCCCAGTGTGTGTCCCCAGTGTGGGATCCCAGTCCCGGTGGGTGTCCCCGCTGTGGGTCCCCAGTCCCAGTGTGTGTCCCCAGTGAAGGTTCCCAGTCCCAGTGGGTGTCCCCAGTGTGGGATCCCGGTCCTGGTGGGTGTCCCCAACCTGGGTACCCAGTCCTGGTGCATGTCCCTGGTGTGGGTGCCCAGTCCCAGTACAGGTCCCTGGAGTGTGTCCCCGGTGTGTGTCCCTGGTGTGGGTTCCCAGTGCTGCTGGGTGTCCCCAGTACGGGTTCCCAGTGCCAGTGTGTGTCCCCAGTGTGGGATCCCAGTCCTAGTGTGTGTCCCCAGTGCGGGTTCCCAGTCCCGGTACAGGTCCGCAGTGTGGGTTCCCAGTCCCAGTGGGTGTCCCCAGTGCAGGTTCCCAGTCCCGGTGGGTGTCCCCAGTGTGGGTTCCCAGTCCTGGTGGGTGTCCCCAGTGCGGGTCCCCAGTCCTAGTGTGTGTAACCCAGTGTGGGATCCCAGTCCCTGTGGGTGTCCCCGATCCCCTGTGACCCC